GCTGCGTCTACCCAGGTTGCTGCTGCCTGCTCCTGTCGGTCCCTCACTCACCCGACTCTCTAGTGGCACCACCGCCTAGGTCACCCTGCGCTCCCGCGTCTGCGTCACATGTCACAGCACGGTCTCGTCCTAGGCCTCCCCGGGTCATTCCCTGAGTTTCCCTCCTCCCCAGCCCCACCTTGCACGCCTTATGTCGAGGGCCGGCTCCGCCGTGCTCCTCACTCCTCCTCGTTTCCCCCTACCGCCGCACCACTACAGACTCTGCACATGGACGTCTGGGGCCCCGCCCCCGTCCATGGGCCGCGTCGAAAGCGCTACTTCCTAGTGCTTGTCGACGACTACACGCGCTACACCACGGTGTTTCCCCAGGAGCGGAAGGCCAACGTGCCTGACGTTCTCATCCCGTGGCTTGTCTCTGCGCGTGTCCACCGCAGTCTCCCTGTCTTACGTCTCCACTCCGACTGTGGTGGCGATTTTGCCTCTGGTGTCCTTGGTCGTTTCTGTCGTGCCGAGGGCATCACCCAGACGTTCACCCTGCCGGAATCCCCGCAGCAGAATTTGGTCATGGAAGTGGCTCGCACCTACATGATTCATGCTGTTGCACCCCATTTTCTGTGGCCGTTCGCCGTTCGACACGCCGCTTACAAGCTTAACCTGTGGCCGCACCCCCAGCAGCCGCAGGATTCGCCGACCCTTCTTTGGTCTGGGTCACCTGGTGACGCGTCTACGTTCCACGTCTGGGGCTGCCTTGCTCACGTTCGTGCCTCCGGCACGGACAAGCTCATTGTCCGCACCCTTCCCTGTGTCTTCCTCGGTTTCCCCCTCGACGCGTCCGATTGGCACTTCTATCACTCGCCGTCTCACAGGTCCTTTCACTCCCGCGACGTCACCTTTGACGAGTCCGTCTCCTTCTACCGCCGCTTCCCCCACCGAGGTCCCCCGGTTACTCCCCCCCTTGTTCTTGGTCCCCCCTTCCCCGGTGGTCCCTGCCCTTCCCCCTCCCCCTCCCCATACTGCCCCCTCTGGTGTGTCCCACGTCACCCCGCTTACGTCGGTTGTCCCGGTCGAGGAGTCTGCTGACTCTGGTGGTCCTGCGGAGCATTCCTCGCCGCCTGCCCCTCCTCAGGTGTCTCCTCCTCCGCCGCCTCCGCAGCCGCTGTTGCCACCGTTGCCACCACCTCCGCAGCCGTCGCAGCAGTAGTTTGTTGACTCTCGGGGTGTTGGAGTTGGGGTGGGTACTAGTCCTGGGACTCCTGTCGTGCCTTGTCCCGGGGGGCCTGGGGGTGGTACCGGTGCTCGAGGGGTTCTGACCTGAGGGGGTGTTCCTTCTGGGGGTGTTGGAGTGGAGTGTTCCGGAGGTAGCCGTGGAGCAGCTTGCGGCCCTGGTGTCGGTGTCGTGCCGTTGCAGCAGCAGTCCCCGCCGGTGTCAGCTCTTCGCCTGCTCGGCCTTCCGTCCCCTGACCCCGCGTTTGTGCCTCCTCCACTTCCTGTCTACGGCCCTGTGTTCCCTCCCCCGGACTCGTCTCCGGCTCGTCTCCCCCCTCGTTCCCCTCTTGTATCCCCTCCTCAGTCTCCGGACCCGACGCCTCCGTCTCATGTCTGGTCCCGCCGTCCCTCCCATGCTCGCCCTGTCTCCCGTATCCCGCGTTCTCACCCTATGTTGCTTTGTTCCCACGCCTTTCGTCCTCCCCTCCTCCTGTCGCCTCCTCCGTCCTCCCTTGTCGTTGCGCCTCCCCCTCTGTCTGACTACCTTCGTGCCGCTCGTCCTCTTGTTCCTCGGGTCCTTGCCTCTCTCGTTACCGACTCGTCTGTTCCGGTTTCGCGTCTTGACGCTCTTGTCGTTGCGGTCGCTGACTTCGCCTCTACTCGCCGCCTTGACTACGCCACCGCTCTGGTCTCTGACCCTGCCTGTCCTTCGTCTGTCGGGGGTGCTCCTGCCCTTGGCAGTCACGTCCTAGAGGACCGCCAGTACGAGCTTGCTTTCCTGTCCGAGGCTGCTCCCCATCTCTGTTCCATGCTTCTAGTCCCTGAGGGTGACCCCGACGCTTTCGACATCCCGACCCCTCGCACTTACGCTGAGGCGACCTCGGGACCCTGGGCCTCGCAGTGGATAGCTGCCATGGAGCAGGAGATGGCATCTTGGAGATCCACCGGCACCTACGTCGACGTAGTTCCCCCACCTGGGGTGAACGTAGTCGATGGCCGCTGGCTCTTCAAGGTGAAGCGCTGACCTGGAGAGCCGCCTGTGTTCAAGGCGCGCTACGTGGCTAGAGGTTTCAGTCAGCGTGAGGGGGTGAACTTCTTTCAGACCTTTGCTCCGACCCCGAAGATGACTACTCTTCGGGTGCTGCTACATGTAGCAGCTCAGCGTGACTACGAGCTTCACTCCCTCGACTTCTCTACCGCGTTACTTCAGGGCAGTCTACACGAGTAGGTCTACCTACGCCGCCCTCAGGGTTTCACTGGTGCCTTCCCTCCTGACACCCAGTGGCTCCTGCGGCGCCCCGTCTACGGCCTGCGACAGGCTCCTCGTGAGTGGCACGACATGCTGCGTGCTACCCTTGCTGACCTGCAGTTCTTTCCGTCCTCTGCGGACCCCTCGCTCTTCGTTCATACTGGCCAGACTCCGTTCTACATCCTTGCTTACGTAGACGACCTGGTCTTCGCCATTGCAAACAGGGACGCCCTGGCCTCGGTGAAGGCCGAGGTGCTGAAGAGACACACTTGCACTGACCTTGGAGAACTGCGCCATTACCTTGGCTTGCAGATCTCCAGAGACAGAGCAGCCCGCACCATCACCCCCACTCAGTCACACTTGGTGCGTCAGGTCCTTCAGAGGTTTGGCCTTCAGTTCTCTTCTGCACAGCCCACCCCTCTGTCTGTAGACCACAGGCTATCTGCTCCAGTTTCTGAGGAGTCGGTAGAGCCCAGTGGCCCTTACGCCGAGCTGGTGGGTTGCTTCATGTACCTGATGACTTGCACTCGCCCAGATCTCGTATACCCTCTCAGCATCCTGGCTCGCTTTGTGGCCACAGGCAGACATCGACCTCAGCATTGGTCTGCCGCTAAGAGGGTTTTGCGTTATCTTGCTAGTACAGTACATCGGGCATGGGGTTAGTGCTTGGAGGGCGCAGGCCAGTGGTCCTTACTGGACACACAGACGGTTCTTGGGCAGACGACGCCGAGACTCTTAGGTCCTCACAGGGCTACTGCTTTAGCCTTGGTTCAGGTGTTGTCTCGTGGAGAGCTACTCGCTCCTCGTCTGTTGCCCAGTCCAGTTGTGAGGCCGAGATCTACGCCGGTGCCATGGCGGCACAGGAGCTCCGCTGGCTGACCTTCTTGCTCACTGACTTAGGTGAGCGGCCTAGCTCTGCCCCGGTCCTGTACGCTGACAACAGGGCCATGATCCTCCTGTGTCAGGAGCCTCAACTCGAGGGCAGAGCGAAGCACATCCAGCTGCGGTACTTCCTCCTGCGTGAGTTACAGCAGCGCCGCCAGGCTCGCGTAGTACACTTGGCCTCCGGTCTCAGAAACTTAGGACTCAAGGTTCTTAAACTTAGGAGGCTAGGTTGGCTAGAATACTAGGAAGAAGGCCGCCATGGAATGGCGTGAGGAAAACGGATCTAGGAAGGGAGAGAATGTCGAGAAGAAAGAGGTTTGATTAGGAAGAGAGAGGAGTACAAGTAGGGGTTTGTACCCTCTACAGAAAGGTTCAGTAACAACCTACCAAGCCTATATTAAATTATAACTTATATAATTTTAACACACCCCCTAGGCTTGGTAGTGTCAAGCCCACGCACACCCCCACACCCACACCCACACCCACACCCCCTAGCCCAGCACCCCCATTCCCAGCAGGAGCCGCAACGACTCCGGAAGAGGGTAGGTCTCACGGCCCCTTGAGACGGCAATGGCGGCAGCAGCGACAGTGACGACAGCGGCGGCGTCGGCGGTGTGCGGCGGCTCCAGGCCTGCGGCAACAGCGGCGGCGCCGGGGGCTCGAACGACAGAGGCTGGTGCGACGGCCCCCGCCCTCTCGGCGGCATGTCCTGTCTCCTCGGCGGTGGAGAGGTCCCTCACATGGCAGTCATCGCTGCAGCAAGAAAGGGGGGGATGCAGGGGAAGCAGGTGCAGGTGGGGGGGGGGAGGGGAGGGGGCGGTGCGAGGCGAGTCTTAAGCGACGCGCCATAAATGGCGCGGCGCTTACTGGCGGGAGGACGTCGTCTTGAGGGACGCCCGTGGCTGGCGAGCGGGCGGCAGGCCCGGCTACGCCACAGACGTCGCTCGGCCGGCCGCAGCCCGACGATGCCGTCGGCTGCCGCAGACGCCGCCACAGCGCACCGTCAATGTCGCAGCGGCGAGGCGGACGGGCGACGGCTGCACCAAGGGGCCGTCGCGACACCTTGGCGCCGCGACGGTAGGCAACGAGGGACCGTCGCGACATCTTGGTGCCGCGACGGCAGGCAACAAGGGGCCGTCGCGACATCCTGGCGCCGCGACGGCAGGCAACAAGGGGCCGTCGCGACAACTTAGTGCCGCGACGGCAGGCAGGCAGAAAACCGCGAAGGCTGCGAATGCAGTAGGAGTACGCAACGGGAACGTAGGGAGAGGGTCCGGTGGACACGACCGGCTCTGATACCATCTCAGAAACTTAGGACTCAAGGTTCTTAAACTTAGGAGGCTAGGTTGGCTAGAATACTAGGAAGAAGGCCGCCATGGAATGGCGTGAGGAAAACGGATCTAGGAAGGGAGAGAATGTCGAGAAGAAAGAGGTTTGATTAGGAAGAGAGAGGAGTACAAGTAGGGGTTTGTACCCTCTACAGAAAGGTTCAGTAACAACCTACCAAGCCTATATTAAATTATAACTTATATAATTTTAACATCCGGTGCCAACACAGCTGATATCTTTACGAAGGCGCTTGTGCCTAAAGATCATTAGCGGCACTGTGTACAGCTTGGTCTTGTTCCTGTAGCCTCTCATTTGCTAGGACCTTGATTGTGTACCGACCTTCTATATATTACCCAGACTGGCCTTGTGGCCTCTCCCAGTGGCTGGACTAGTAGTGCCGTCCTGGTCTTGCTCTTGCCTTGTATGTACTCCTTTTGACTGGTCTTTAGACCCTTGCCTCAGAGGCTGGACTAGTAGTGCCGCCCTGAGCTGCTTATTCGCTTGTCAAGCACTGCCCCTATATAGTCTAGGCTAGGGGGTGTGTCAAATGTAACTTAGGTGGTTACTGTAGACTATACTGGTTTGTGCCTTAGAGGGTACAACACCCTAGTCTATATACCCTTGTGTCCTATTCTAGTCACTTACTTATTCTAATACCCGATACGACTTTCCTCAAGTGTAGTGTTACACTTCAGAAACACTTAAGTTCTCGAGGTTTTTCCAACACAAGGGCAATGCTCTGCAGCACACTTACACTCAATTCCGCCAACCTCCCAGCAGCACCAACCCCTCAGTGCCATGTCCCAGCAGCGCCTTGTCCTCACTGCCCCCTCACTGCCCACTCACTGCCCCCTCACTGCCCCCTCACTGCCCCCTCACTGCCCCCTCACTGCCCCCTCACTGCCCCCTCACTGCCCCCTCACCGCCCCCCCACTGTGCCCGCACAGCACAGCCAGCATCAGTGCCAGACGTCCAGCAGGGGCATGAGGAGCATATTGGCGCGCCGCACCTCCCTCTGCTGCCGGGCATCATAGGGGTCCACCACGTGGCGCTCAAACACCGCCCGCCCCACCACCTTCTGCATCTCCCTCAACCCCCTCTGCCCGCCCTTATGCGTGCCCCCCCGCCCCGCTGACGTCATGCCCTGCCCGCCCTCCCATGCCATGTGCAGCAGCTGGAGGGGGGAGGGGGGATGACGAGGTTGAGTTGTGTAAGAGAGGAGATGCGTGGCGAGAGTCTGTGAAAGACGAGAGGGTGGGCGGAAGGGCAAGGGAGGAAGACGAGAGTGTGTGGGGGACAGCCCCGTGCCTCACCTTGTGGGCGCCCATCCACACATGGAAGGCCATCGCCCAGTCCGTCATCATGGCACTCTGCCCCCTCGTCGACATGCCCTCATCCAGCCCGCCCATGTGCTCCCACACGCCTCGCCGCACCACCATGGGCCCCACGTCCACCACGCCCGCCATGTACCCGCGCGCCCCCGACCGCCCCTCCCTCTCTGGCTGCGCCCACAGGTTCCTTGCCCGGCGCTGGAACGCGTGCACGCCCTCTCCCCCGCGGCTGTCCACATCCACCTTGCCCGTGCGGTAGCCCACGGCTGCTACTGAGGGGCGCGACGAGAGGGAGCGCAGGATCGAGTGCAGCCAGCGGCAGGAGGCGGGCGGCAGGTCGTCGTCTTGGAGGAGGGCGAGGAAGGGGGAGAGGGAGGGCGAGGCGGCGCGGTTGAAGCCGAAGACCTCGTGGGTGTTGTGGCGGAAGATGACCCGCAGGAAGGACGACTGCACGCAGCGGTGCCCGCACCAGGCCGAGGGGGAGGGGGGGGTTGGTGTGGGTGTGGCATTGGCAGGGTGGGCAGCTGGGTGTGTGGCCAGCTCTGGTGACGGTGGTGGGTGGCCACCCCCCGTGGCCCGCCACAGGTGCAGCCAGTACGGCCACGCGGACGGCTCATCCGCAGTCACTGCCAGCTGCATTGTATACTCCGCCCGCCCGCTGCCCGCTCGCCCGCTGTCCGCTCGGCCACTGCGGCTCTCCGTGCCCCCCATGGCTGGCGGTCCCCCTGCCATGCCATCCCTCACGAGCGTCCATGGCTTTCCCCCTCCCCTCCTCCCCTCCCTCCCCTCATCTGCTGCACCCCCCTCCGCACCCCCCTCTGCACCCCCCTCTGCACCCCCCTCATCCCACGTCACCTCCCCTCCCAACCCCTCCCACACCTCCCATCCTGTCTCCCCACCACCTCCATTCCCACTCCCTTGTTCCTCCCCCTGCCTTGCTTCCACGCCCCCACCCGCGCCCCCACCAGCAGCTGCCTCGGCCCCAGCACCCCCAGCCTCACTGCCACTACCCGCGCCCCCATGTGGCCCCCCCTTGAGCGCACATGCGTGCAGGCGCGACACGAGGGGTTGCATGGTGTCGGGCTGCTTGAAGAACTGCAGCAGCACTGACACGCCCACAGCGGCCCGCGGAAACAGCTCCCGCCGCCGCTGCCATAGCGGCACGTCCCCCCGCACGCCCACACACTCCCGCGCCTCCCTCCCCTGCTCGCCCCCCCTGCACCGCACCCCACCGTCTGCCTCTAACAAACCCCCCCTGCCGTCCCTTTGCCCTCTCTCTCCCACCCCCCCTCCCCTGCTCTCCTCCTCCCGCAGTCTCTCCTCGCCTCTCTCCCCTGCTGGCAGGTCCAGCTCGTCCCCGCTATAAGCACACTCCTTTAGCAAGCGCTGGCGCAGGGCCGAGAGGGAGGAGCGCAGAGCAGATGGAGGAGAGTTGAAGGGGGGGTGGGGGGCAGAAGGGGAGGCGGGGGAGAGCGCGGGCAGCAGGCTCTGAAGGTACAGCTGAAGGGCTCGCTGGTACCCATCCCGGGCGGCATCGAACTCGTCTCTTAAAGCCACACACGCCGCTGCCCGCCCCCTCACCCCCCTCCATGCCACCCTGCGCCCCTGCTCCTCTCCGCCCCCCCACTCCTCCAGCCTCCCCCCCCCCTCCAGCCACGGCGAGGGAGAGAGGGGGAGGGAGGGCGAGGGGAGGGCGGAGGGGGGGAGAGAGCCGTTCACGAAGAGAAGGCGACCCGCTCCCAGACGCACGTGCTGCTTGGGGGGAGGGGGGGGGAGGGGGGGTGATAGGGGGTGGAGAGGAGGGAGGTTGGGAGCGGAAGTAGGAAGGGGTGAAGATTGAGTGAGTGAGAGAGAAAGAGGGCGATAGAGAAGGGAGGGGGGAGAAACGGGGGAAGAGGAAGAACGAGTAATGGCTTGGGCAAGCAGGGGGACAGCAGTGCGCAATGGGAGTGTGGGTGGGGGGTGGCATGCACGCACGTTGAAGAGTGAGGCGAATAGCGACCAGCGTGAGAGGCGTTGGTGCAGTGGCAGCAGCAGCGCCTGGTGCAGGTGCCCCCACGCCTGCTGCCCCTGCAGCTGCTGCTGCCGCCGCAGCAGGCGCTGCAGCAGGGGCTGCTGGGCGGGGGCGCTGGTGGGGCGAGGTGCCGCGGGCGTGCCAGGGGGGGGAGGGGATGGGCGGCAGGGAGGGCAGAGGTTAGCGAGGAGGGAAGGGCGATGGGAGCGGCTTGGAAAAGAGAGGCAGCACACGGCATGACACTTGTGGCAGCACACGGCATGACACTTGTGGCAGCACACGGCATGACACTTGTGGCGCGCGCTGCGCTGCGAGACAGGGAGCAGGGAGCCGGGCAGCATACCCGTGGGTGGTGAGTGCAGCGGGCGCGGAGGGGGCTGGCGCTGAGGACGTGCGGTGATGGGCCTGATGGCGGGGGGCATGAGGGGGTGGGGGGATGGGGGGATAAGGGGGTGGGGGGATGGGGGGAGGGTGGGGGGATGGGGGGATAAGGGGGTGGGGGGATGGGGGGAGGGTGGGGGGATGGGGGATAAGGGGGTGGGGGGATGGGGGGAGGGTGGGGGGATGGGGGGATAAGGGGGTGGGGGGATGGGGGGGAATAAGGGGGTGGGGGGATGGGGGGGAATAAGGGGTGGGGGGATGGGATGGGGGGATAAGGGGTGGGGGGATGGGGGGGAATAAGGGGGTGGGGGGATGGGGGGAATAAGGGGGTGGGGGGATGGGGGGGAATAAGGGGGTGGGGGGATGGGGGTGGGGGGATGGGGGGATGCAGTGCGAGCAGCAGTGCGAGCAGCAGTGCGGGCAGCAGTGCGAGCAGCAGTGCAAGCAGCAGTGCAAGCAGCAGTGCGAGCAGCGACCATCGTACCCAGGGACGCAGCAGGAGGAGCAGCATGGCCAGGGCGAGGAGGAGGAGCAGCGCGAGCAGGCGAGAGCGGGGGGGGGGAAGGAGGGCGCGGGGGAGACGCTGGTTGAGGAGAGCGAGGAGACGGGGGGCGGGTCGGGGGAAGAAGGGGAAGGGGCGCGGTGAATGGGAGGGCGGCGACGCGGCACGGGGCGATGCTGCCGGTGAGAAGGAGGGGGATGAGGGCGCTGTGTGTGGGGGGGGGAGAGAACGGGGGGGAAGAGGGGGGATGTGGGGAAGGGAAGGAGGGCAGGAGGGAGTGGTTGTTGGTGAGTGCGAGGGGAGAGTCGTTGGGAGCACTACTTGCAATGCAAGAGGCATGAACACGCCTCGCACTAGACCTTGCACCGATACTTGTGCGCTCCCCCCTCTACCACCCCACAGCCAATGCCCCACAGCCCAGCGAGCCAAGCTCCAGCCACATCCAGTGCACCCGCCCTCCACCAGTCCCCCCCGGCGCGCACACTGTGGCACCTCCCCGCCGTCAACCGTCATCCACCCCTCGCCCACCCTCTCCCGCATTCCCCGCCCCCCTCCCCCTCCCCCGATCACATCGTGCGCCTCTGCTGCGCCGATTCCCCCCGCCAACGCGACCATCCGCCGCCTCCGCAATCTCGCAATCCGCGGCGGCGTCCACCCTTCCGCCCCTGGCGCCCACCCGGTCCCCCCCCCCGAGGCCGGCGACAGCCAGGGTCGCAGCGGCGGCGGCCGGCGACGGGCGATTCATCGCTGGCAGCGCGCCGGGCGACGAGACGGGCGAATGGGGAAAGCGGGCGGCGCAGGGGGGAGAAGAGGAGCAGCGGGGATCGCGGAGGGAGGGTGGGGGGAGAGGAGCGCGGAAGGGGAGACCGTTAACGCAAGCGAGAGCGATCGAATGCGGCGCGGGATGCAGCGTGCCGTCTGAACGGTGCTGGGCGGAACGGGCAGCGAATTGAGGGCGCTGCAACGAGCGGAATAGCGGAGAATGCTGGGGAACAGGTGGCAAAAGAGCAAGCAGTTTTGTGGGTGCAAGTGCCTGGTCCGTGTGTACCCGACAGCATCGCAGCCGGTTGTCCAACATGTACGAGTTCTCATATAACATATTAGACAAAACATAGAACAGCCCACATATAATAATTACAACCCCAGCCAAGTATTCAAGCACTGGCACAACGCGTATTCTACCCTAAATGCGATTTCATCTTTGCCATGCGAACCACGAATTCAACACCAGGCGTTTTACCCAAACCATTGACTACAAAAGGACATCCCTCCATGTCCATTCACTCCAAGCTCCACCCATTTTCTCTGCTTCGCTACAGCATGACAGCATTAGCCCCAAGCGGACGTCAAGTTCACCCTTTGCTGCCCTTGGTGCTGCCGCGCCGCAGGTGCTTCATTCGGAGCCTGCTTTCGACTCCACTCAAAGCGAGCCCAACGTGCATTCGGGGAGGTTGCCCCCCCAAGTGCGAGGTCAGCCCTTGGAGCCGTGGATGATGGTGCGCAGCAGGTGGTTGGGCGTGAGGCCCGGGTGCGCGAGAGGCTGCCCGGTGGAGGGCGACAGCTGCGAGGAGGCAAGCCACGCCTCGATGTGGCGCCGCTCGTATGTGAAGCCGTCCGCCGCTATCACCGGGTCCTGCATGCGGTGCTGCGGGGGGGAGGGGGGGGAGAAGGGGGGGGAGACGGGGAAGAGAATGAGATGGGTGAGAGGCCAAAGCGCTTAGCTTTGCCTTATGCTGCAAAGATACCCACTCTGCATGGAGAGCCAACAACCACCCCCCTACATTGGTGCACAGCACATCAGTGGGGATGGGAACCACCTACCTTGGACAGCGGGCACATGAGCGTGCTCTCCATGGCATCGTTGCGCCGCGTCACGTCCTCCTTGCCCGCCGCAGCCGCATCAGTCAGCACGGGCACCACATCCGTCGCCAGGTCCGCCCGCATGCACGCGTCGCGCTCCACGCACCGCACCAGCACGCCCACCACGCGCTCTGCCACGTCAGCGGGCCACGTGCCCGCCAGGGGGTCCAGGTGCGGCAGGAGAATGGCTACCGCCTGGGGGACGTCGCGCGTTGGCGCCGAGGGGAGGGCGCTGGCGGTGGGAGTGGCAGGGCAGGGGGGTGCGGGGGTGCAGACGGTGGGGCAGAGGGCAAGCAGGCGGTGGACCTGCTTGGGGGAGGAGGCGCCGGTGAGCAGCATGAGCGCCACGACGCCCAGCGCGTAGACGTCGGAGGCAGTGGAGAGCTCGCCACATGCAATGGCCTCGGGGTCAATGAACCCCACCGTGCCGCGCATGCGGTGCGTGGTGACCACGTCGCTGCCGTCCGGCAGCAGGCATGCCAGCCCCACGTCCGCGATCTTGCTGGTGCCATGCGCGTCCAGCAGGATGTTGTCAGGCTTTAAGTCACGGTGCACGATGGGCGGCGAGCAGCGGTGCAAGTACAGCAGCGCCGACGCCACCTCGGAGAGAATGCGCAGGCGGTGGTGCCAGGGGAGAGGGGGGGGCGCGGGGGACAGGGCGGAGGCGGGATGGGAGGGGGAAGCGGCAGAGAGAGGGGAATGCTGGCTGGACGAGGAGGAGTAGGACGGCGATTTGCCTCCGCTGTTGGCTGCTTTCTCCTGCTCCTGCCCCCCCTTCTTGTGCTGCGCCGCCAGCCTCTGCTGCAGGCTGCCCCCCGCCATGAACTCGTAGACGAGGGAGAGGTCCTGCGGGCAGCACCCCATGAGCAGCACCACGTGGGGGTGGCGCACGCGGCTCAGCACCTGCACCTCGCGCTTGAACGCCTCGCGCCCCTCGCTGCGCCCGCGCCCCTCGCGGTCCCTCAGCCGCTTCACGGCGACGTCACAGCCGTGGATGGACCCGCGGAACACCGGCCCGTACGCGCCCGACCCCAGCAGTCGCGACGAATGGAAGCCGTCGGTGGCGCGCACCAGGTCCGCCGGCGAGAAAAAGCGCGACCGCTGCCCCGCTGGCATGCGCGCCGGGCTCCTGCCGCCGCCGCTGCCGCTGGTGTTGGTGCTCTGGAGGGGGCTGCCTGCTGCTGACGCCATGCTGGCCCCGCTGGGGGTGGTTGGGGTAGTGGGAGTGGTGGCGGCGGTGGGGTTTGTGGGGGTGGTTGGGGCAGTGGGGGTGGTTGGGGTGGTGGGGTTGGTGCTGTGTCTGCTGCTTGCGGGTCTCATGCCCGTGCTGCTGCCACTCTGTCTGAGTGACGCCATGCTGCCCTGCCTCTTCAGCCCCACACTGCCCTGTTGCGTGCCACCCTGCCGCGTGCCGCCCTGCCCCGTGCCGCCCTGCCCCGTGCCGCCCTGCCCTGTGCCGCCCTGCCCCGTGCCGCCCTGCCCTGTGCCGCCCTGCCCCGCGCTGTCCAGTCTTTTCAGCGCCATACTGCCCTGTCTCCTCAGCACCACACTGCTGCCGCCGCCGTCGAGGCTGCGCCGCCCGATCACCACGCTGATGCTGTGACTGCCGCCCAAGCTGCTGCCCACCATGGCACTGCCGCCATTCATGCTGCTGCCGTGCTGCGCGCGCTGCTGGCAGCGCAGGGAGGCGGCGGCGGGCATGCGCGCGCCAGTGAGGATGGCGTCGGTGAGTGCCGCATCGCTCGCCAACAGCCGCGCCCGAGCCATCTCCATGCTCATGCTGCGGCTGCCCACGATGCCCGTGCTGCCCGTGCTGCCTGCTCCTGTTGCCGGCCGTCTCACCCCCTCCATGCCCGCTTGCCCCTGTCTCCCCGCCACTGCCGCCCCCCTCCCCCCTATCGTCGGCCCTGTGCCAGCGCGCACGGTCGGATTGATCCAGCTGCCGCTCATGCTCAAGCCCTTTCTTCCCCCCATGCCTCCGCCCACGCTTTCCCCCATGCTTGCCCCCGTGGTTTCTCCAGGCCGCGCCCCCCCAGCAGCGGCGTGGGGGGGGCGCGCAGCGAAGGAGTTGGTGCTGCCTGTGCGAGAGATACGGCGGGCCGAGGGGGTGGGGCGGGGGACCTGGAGGGGGCGGGAAGAAAGCAAGGGAGGGGGGGAAACGGAGACAGAAGGATGAGATAGAGCGGTAGGTGTGAAAGCAAGAGACATGGAGGGAGGGGGAGAGCAGAGGAGGAGGGGGGAAGGGGGTCGGGGAGGTGCGAGGAAGAGAGTGCGGCAGAGGTAATGCAGGGCGGACTGGCAGGCGAGCAACGGCATACCCAGGGCGCGGGGGAGGGCGGTCGTTGAAGCAGTGTGCTGGACGCACCACCACCACCAACCTGCGCTCTCGCCTGCTGCTGCTCGCTGCCCCTTCCATCCCCACCCTCCCCCATCTCCCCCTCTCTGCCCGCAGCAGCAGCGGCAGCAGCGCCCATGCGGAGAGGCCCCGAGAAGGAGGAGACGGCGGGCGCGGGTGGTGCGGGGTTGGGCTGGGCGGGTACTGGCATGGAGTGGCGCGGCAGGGAGAGCGACGAGCGCGATAGACGACTGGGGTGACCCTGTCGCCGCACAAATGGAGGGGGGGGGGAGGGGGTGGGGGGGGGAGACGGGAGAGGAGAGCGAAGGGAGAAGGAAAATGAGGGGATGGTAGCAGGAGGGGGGACGGGGGGCTGGGCGGCACATGGGTGCGGAGCGACGGCGTGCGGGAGGAGCTGCGAATGCGGCGCACAGGGATGGGGGCAGCTGGGGGGGAAAGCGGAGGGGAGAAAGCACATGAGCACGAGAGCGCAGCAGCAGCAGCAGCAGCAGCAGAAGTAGCCGGCTCACCTCGTTCGACCATTCATCTCGCGAGGGCGACCGTCGGCTGACCACGCGTCTCTCCATGCCGCTCACTCGCGCGCCCCCCTCGCGCTCACACCTCCCCCCGCCCTTCTCCCTTCCGCCCTCCCCCTCCCCCGCCCCGCTCTCCTCCCCGCTGTCCACCCCCAGCGCCGCCAGCTCGTCCATCAGCCACCGCCGCGCCGCCGTCGCTGCCACCGCCTCCCGTGCGCGCTCGCCGTCAACCTCGCTCTCGCACGCCGCCCCTTTCCCCGCCCCCCCCTCCTCCCTCTCCTCCTCCTCCGCTGGCCCCTCGGCTGCCCCCTGCCCCCGCCCCACCTGCCGCGCCTGCACTACCAGCTGCCGCCCCGCCATCTCCCGCTCCTCCTTCCCCCGCTCCCCGCTTCCCCCTCCGCCGGTCACCCCCGCCACGCCTCCTCCGCCCCACTCTCCATGGGGAAACACTCCCCCGCCCCATATGAGCGCACCAGCTGCCGCGCCCACGGGCGCGGAGGGGCACGGGGAGAGTGGCGCATGCATTGGGGAGGCGGCAGCGGAGTATGAGGCGGAGAAGTGGTGGGTAGGAGGGGGGGAGACAGGGAGCATGGGGGGGATGTGCGCGGAAGGGGGAGCGGCGGGGGAGGCGGCGGACAGGGAAGCGGAAGCGGCGGCTTCGAGCGCGAAGCCCTCGCTGCCGGCGCGCTTGAGCTGCCGGCGCTGGAACAGGCGGCCCTTGGGGCGCTCCTGGACCGCCGGGGGAGGCGCGGCGGGGAGAGGCGTGGCGGCGGGGAGGCGGGGAGCGCGGGGAAGATACCAGGGGGAGCGGGGAGGCGTGAGGGGCGACGGTGAGGAGGCAGGAGAAGGCGCGGCGGAACGAGCGCTTGATGATCCTGCCGTCGGCTTCGCAGACGAGCTCTCCCCGGCATCCCCGGCATTGCTGCCGCCATAGCCCGGCACCGGTGCACGCTGCGGGGCATGCGAAGGGGCGGCGGGCGCGGCTGCAGCACAGGGGGCGGGCATGGGGGCACCGGGGGGAGCGGTGAGCGAGGAGGGGATGGTGCGGGCGGGGGGCACGGGCTGGCCTAGCGGCATGGTGTGGCTCGCGGGCACGAAGGCGGAGTGGCAGGGGGGAGTGGCGTTGGCGGGGGACGACGACATGGCGTGGCCGGGGCTCGGCGAGAGCGGTGCGCGTGACGGAACGGACGGGGGCACACCCGCCGCGTCCCCAAGAAGCCACCCCGTCGGATGCGAGCCCACCTCCGCCGCTTCCGCCCACGCCCCTCCGCCCACTTCCGCCAACATGCCTTGCCACCGCTCACGCTCCCCTTGCTCCTGCCGCTGCTGCCCGCCGTGCTGCAGCTGCTGCCCTCCCTGCTGCGGCCGTCCGTGTGCCGTGGCGCTCAGCAGCTGCCTACCCGCCACCGGCAGCCTCCCCGTCGACGGCCCCCCGCTGCCTGCCTGGCGCACTCCCCTGTCCGACCCGTAATGCTCCCCAGCGCCTCCCCCGAAACTCCATCCCCCCGCTTCCCCTAATCTCCGCACCTGCCCCGCACCGGCGCCATCACCACTCTCTAATGCGCGCACGGCAGGTAGCGGGCCGCTCCTCGTGCCAACGGCGGAGAAACGTCTGTCCGCACACGCGTGGCCGTGCGCAAGCCGCTCCCGCACAGGGCCAGGAGCAGTGCTGCCGTCGTGCGCCGCTCTGTCCCCCCCGCGCTGCAACAGCAGGGCGGGGTCACGCGAGTGCCACTGCAACTGCGCGCCCGCACACTCCGCCTCTGCCACTCTGCCACCACCTGGCCCCGCCGCCACCCTGTCACCGCCCCCGCCTCTCACCACCACACCCCCGACGTTCTGCGCCCTGCGCATGTGCTCCCCGAGAACCATCTCCCCCGCTGACCCCGCTGCTCTGCCCACCCCGTCCGCCTGCCCCTGCCTCGTCCCCTGCCCCTCTGCGGCCGGCTGCTGTCGGCGCGCTGCTGCGATCACAGGGGGCCGAAGGGCTCCGAGTCGTTCCTCGTGAACCCCCCGATTCTCCACGGCCAACGCCGCCGGTGCAGCAGCACCAGCAGCACCAGCGCCACCACCTGCCGTGGTGCGAGCGAGCGACGGGAACAGATCTGCTACCACCGCCATCGCCCCGTCCCGCCCGCCTCTGCCATGGCGGGAGCTTGCTGCTCCGCCCCCACCTCCCTCCCCCCTGCCTCCCCCATCACCGACTGCCCCCCTGCTGCTGACCTCCGGGCTATTCCTCGCTACATCCATTGCCCCTCCCGCTGCCCCGGGCTGATGGCGCGCGGTGGCGGTCATGATGAGCGCGCACTGCGCGGGAAGCAGCGCGCGGATCAGCGCCGGCGAGGGGGGGACCTCGAGGGCTGCGCGGGGCGACTCTGCTTCAGATGACGATTGGAAATCTGCGGATTCAGCGGCGGATTCGGTGGCGTGGGATGCGGTGAAGAGGTTGGACGGCAGGTACACGCGCGCGGCGTCGAAGTGGCGCGCAGCGGCACACACGGCGTGCACACGCTGCTGCTGACGTGGCGGCCGTGAACTGACGGCTCCGCCTTCCAGCGCGGCTCTTTGCACGTGGAAGCTGGCCCGCACCTGACGGGATGGCGCGGGGGGAAGGACGCAGAGCAAGTGGAAAAGCAGAGGGCCAGTGGGCGGGGGGAAGCGGAACGAGGCAAGTGGAGGATGAGGTAGCGAGGCCGCGAGCAACAGATGGGCGGCAATGGCTCGACTCTCACCTTGGCGAGCGTGGCTCGCTGCACCAGCGGTCGCAGCATGCACTGCACCACCCACGCCTCCACGCCCTCCCCCCCATCGCCCTCCCCCGCCTTCCCCTCGCCGAGGGCAGCCGCGGCCGACGAGGGCACCACGGCCACCAGCACCAGCACCACCTGCGACGCGGCCTGCTGCCGGGCCACGTCAGCAACGGCGCGCTGCACGACCGCCCACGCGTCCTCCACGCACCGACCCAGTGCCACCGACGACTCGCGGGCTGCGACGAGGAGAGCGGCGGACAGAGGCACTTCCACGACCCAGCGACGCCTGGTCGAGTCGGCGGGCGGCATGGCGCGCTTAGCGGCCGCGCGGAGAGGCATCGCCAGGCCCAGCAGGCGGCGGGTCAAGGGACCTCTGCGGGGATCCGCGAGCGCCGCTGCACCCTGCTGCTGAGATAGATGCTCCTGGCTGTGCTGGTGCAAGGGGTTGTGAACTATCGGAGCTGCGCACGTGGCGACGTCCGCCATGGCGAACCATGCGACGAGGTGAGCGATGCAGGGCTCAGCGCACCGTTAGTGCAACCACGATATCTCCTACGCCATGGTCTGAGGACTGCCGACCTGAAGCTGGTGAGCGGTTGGCTTGTCCGGTGGAAATCTAGAGGGTTTCGTTCGTTCCAACAAGGGTTTCTCGTGGACGGTGGCTTGTCTGGTGGAGATCAGAGCATGGCACAAAACCAAGCCCGAGTCATGGCTGGAAGCCTGGAACCTGGGCTGGAGGTGCGAGGCGGCAAGGGACCAGCAGAAAATCCCAGCACTGTGCATGGCAGGAAGCAAGCAAGGACTTGATGCGACATGATGTCAGGGCGTGGATCCTAGGGTTGCGCAAGCCAGAATTGCGCAACCAGCTGCGGTTTTGGCGACTTTTTTGCCCGCAGAAAAGTTTGCGAACACACGTCGGAACGTTTACGAGAGGCGTAACCAGACTGGATTGCGCAACTCAGTCAGGTTGCGCAACCCTAGTCTCCGCACCTTCAGTGCGTGCCTTTGTGAGGAAACGACAGAAATAAACCCAAATCAAAACAAATCCGACAGTAATGTACTCGAATATTTCGCGCCTATGCGAGGCGAGATTCTTACGCATACGCAGTCAGCTGTTTCGGACTGATGTGTAGAGTTGTGCGTTCGCGACAAAACTTCCCAGCAAATTTTGATGGGCTGCATTCGGCAGAAAATGCCAAACTAGACAATGACATTTTGGGCAGCTTTTTGTGCAAATAAATAATAAACCCATAGGGGCCGGACATACCATTCAAGATGGCATCAACCCTAAACTCGCGGCCCTACGGGTTTATTGTTTTGTCGGCTGTGCAAAACTACTGTACGTATATACAGTTTCGCCCAACATGTAGCTGACTATCTCAGGTTTGGGCGATTCTACAGAAAAATTGGATGCATTTTTTCGGTTACGTTTTAATTAGGGTAGATATATGTCATTTCCTCTGCCTTTGTGTGAGCTCTCCCTCTGCTCTGCTCGTCTCGTCGGGTGCGGTCAGCCGACGCCACACAGAGGCGATCGCAATCAATTCGGGATTTGCGGATCGAAGAATTCGAGGGCAAAGCAGTTGAGCCACCCAGTCCCTCCTGCGCGGCCCACGTGTGGAGGAGACTCGTTGCTCCCCGCCACGCTGGCATGCCAACGCAGCGGTGCGCTGGGCTTTTCCCTTCCCAAGCGAAGCATGCGAAAGATTTCGCTCGCGACAAGATGCTGCCGCAACAGTGATGAAATCGCATCAGATTCCAACGGGAACCCGATTCCAATCGCATCGTGTTCGGGCTTGGTTGTTTAGGGTTCGAAAATCCCCCAAGAAAAACAGTGACAGGAGAAGACGGGATGCATAAGTTTTTACGAAATGGATGCATATCCACTTTTTACAGCGAACACGTTTACTTATCGCGAGTTGTTTTGTAAGAGCAATCAGTTCTCCCCATTCCACCCGCCCTCCTCCGACCACCTTCATTCTGCTAGGGGAAGGGCGATTTTATGTCGACTTCCGCGCCTAACGTCACCCATAAAGGGGGCTGTCACTGCCGCAAAGTGCGCTTTGAGGTAGACGCGCCGTCGGAGTTATTTGTCTTAGACTGCAACTGCTCAATATGCGCTATGAA